TTGTAGCTGAGAATGATATACTTAGACAGGAAAACACTGAGATCAAGTCTGAGAACATCGAACTTAAAACTGAGAATGCAAAATTAAAACAGGCTTTGAAAGAACATGAATCCAGATTTATGAAACTGGAGCAGAACGATAAAGATACCGCTTTGGAAAATGCCAAACTTAAAGCTAGGGTTGCAAAATTGGAACAGAAGCAGTTACAAACTGACAAAGAAAAGAGCAACCATATTATATTACGAAGTAATGACTGTGTCAGCTTCACTGATGCCTTCGCATCTAAATCGGATGATACCACTTCCATTGAAACAGAAAATTCTAACGATGCTCTGAACAGACAAACTTACATTGTAATGAGTCAGAGACTTGTGGCTATATTATTGATACTCTTGCAATTAATATATCTGATAACACTTCAAATTCTGATGTATGTCAGGAGCTTTCATCCCAATATTCCACATCATCCGTCTGCACAGAGAGTAAGTCATTGGAAGACAAGAAAATAGATGAATTCATAGATTCAATATATGAGGAACAGGTTAGTAAAGAGATAATTCAGAGAATTAGGGAGAAGAAACTTCAGGAACAAGAATTATCCTCTATATCGGTTGAAGAATTATATAGTGAAAAGGTGAGACCAAAAGTCCTACTTGAGCAAAACAGCAAATCGGTGCCGATACAGCCTGAAGAAACAAAAGTTTCGCATGATTATATAGTCACCCAAGATTTTATTCAAGAAGTGTCTTCAGGGTTCACAGATGAGGAAACCATCGAAGTTGTTGATATACTCACTACCAATACGACAATAGAAGTTGAGCTAGCTTATTTGTTTCTAAAAGTAAGTATTGAAGGAAAAAATACTATACAAGCTAAACAGAAAGAGATTTCATGTCGTTACTCATATGGAAAAAGATTTGAAATAGGAGTTCAAGAACTTATAGTAAAGAAAAATATTTCAGAACAGACAGTGAGAAAATGATTATTCCAGGATATAATAAAACACCTTTCTGGATTAACTTTGGAAACCTTACGTAAAAGAACCCAAAGATCTATAAAATTTTACAAATTAATCGAAAAGATAGGAGTTGATAAGATTAAGAATATCAAGACATTCAGTGTGGATTCTATTTCAAAGTTTACACAACCTCAAATTTAAATAATTCTGGATTATTTTAATGAAGATAAAAAGTGAGACCAAAAGTCCTACTTGAGCAGAATGGCGTTGTCAATCATGTATCTAATACAGATTCTACTAATATTATCAGCAGAGCTGACATGACCAAGAAAACCTCACTGATAGCTCAGGCAAGCGCACCACCTATATTTGAACCAGAAGTCGATGTAAGTATATCTCCTGTTTCTGTCAATTCGAAAACCAAGATAAGTGTAGGTTCTACGTCTAAAACTAGAAAAAAAGCTTTATCCAAGAAGACTCTATCTGAAAAGCAAAATAATCCAGCATATACCCATGGTTATTTTTATAGCAAATTATTAGAGCAATATCCCGATTTATATAAAGAATGTAGTAGCGAAAATGTTGATTATTATGGGATTAATGCTGAATCACTATGTCTGATATGCAAGTTAATTCATGAGGATGAAGAAGGTATAGAAGCTGAATATAAAGATGGATCTTACTATATTAAATGTGAAGCATCTGAAATTGGCACTGTTATATCGGCTCGTACTGAACTAATTGTATAATTTTATCTGTTTATTATTACTATACAATAAATATTAATGTGAGAAGCAGAGCTACTGAAATAGCATATACAGTATATTTAATATTTTTTTATGCGCATAAGTGCCTCCATTTCGTAAGCGATATTCAATGTAGAAATTTTAATTGACTTGTGATCTTATAAAATAACAACATGAGTGCGTTAAACTTACAAACCAAATCTGATAAAATCTCTATGAAGCAGGATACTTTGTGCTTAACCTCTGAATATTTAGATTGGCAGGCTAAATTAATTGGAATTTTAACAGATATTATTCATTCCAAGTTATATAAAAAATATAAGAAAGAAACTGGGCTCGACCCCTGGATAATGTCTGAAACCTTTGAGTCTCCACAAATCAAAAAGGATACTGAAAAAAAGACATTATTTGTACCACAGATAAATGTTCAGTCTACACCATCCAAACTTCGATCACCAATTTCTGTTCTACTTAAAGACCCTGAAGAAAGGCAACATGTTATTGAAATAGTATTAGAACAATTTCCTTATTTAACTTTGAAACATAGTTTTAAATCTAGTAATTATTTTGATTTCAATAGATCTGT